CAGATGCCGACACGGCGGTACAGGGACACTCGTGGACTCAGATGCCGACACGGCGGTACAGGGACACACGTGGACTCAGATGCCGATACAGACTCGCGATATGAAACCGCAGTTGGAGAGGCTCGTCTCCACATGCACACTCGCGCACACAAGGAAAAGTTCTCACCTCGTGGGCGGTCACGGACTGACCCGGCTCGCGGGCAGGGTCAGAGGTCACAGGCGAACGGGAGGCCTGAGCGCGCGCAGCAGAGTGGACCTGTCCCGTCTGGACCGGGAAAACCCGGACAGCAATCTGTCTCTCTGTCTCTCTCTCTCTCTCCTGCGTCTCCGAAAGAAGAGAAAGAAGAGAAAGAAGACCTGTGAGAAACCCGCCGTCTCCAGCCCGAGACTCTCCCCCCAGCTCCTCCACTCGCCCGGCAGCGTCTGAACTTTCCCTCTTTCCGATCACAGTCATCCTCACTTTCAGTGCTCCGCCTGAGCAGGGAGTCGGGGGAAAGGAGCTCTCTTCTGCAGAACGCGAAGGCGACAAGGCTTAGAATGATGATTATTATTATTAATAATAATAATAAAGGGCCCCCGCGGGCCTCGCTGTGGTGCATTTCGCTCTTCGGAAAGTTTCTCCTCCCGTGGGTCCAGCGGAGCCGGGGACAGGGATCGGCTCGCTCGGGGGACAGACAGTCTAAACTCGCCGCTCTCCCGCTCTCTTGTGAACTTGTGGCCGCGGTCCCGGGCAGTGGGGCAGAGGGGCAGTGGGGCAGTGGGTATCCACCTGCAGAGCCGCCACAGCGAGACACGGGGAGAAGCGGACATCCGACAGGTGATCGCGCGGTGCCGTGCGCCTCCGCGCGCTAGTCGTGCCCAACTCTGTGCGCACCCGTTTGAACTCCTCGTGTCTCTATGAGGCTGTACGGGGTTTCAGACACCCGGCGGTCCAGCAGCAGAAGCGGCTCCTGTCCGGCAACATTCACTCTCGCGCTCCGGCTCCCAGCGGCACAAAACACTCACACCCGCGCCTCGCGCCCCTACCTCTCACGAGCTGTCCTCGTCCGGCGCGAGAAGCGGGCGGCTCAGCGGCTCGTGCCCGATCGCCTTCTCCGAGCGCGGCGGGGCGGCGGAGTGGCGCTCGCGCTCTCTCTCTCTCTCTCTCTCGCCGTCTCACGCGCCGGGGCTGGGGCGGAGGGAGGGGAGAGAGAGAGAGAGAGAGGGGCAGGTGAGCGGGCGCGCCTGTGTGTGTGTGTGTGCGCGCTGCGGCGTGTAAGCGGTTAATTAACTTAATCCGCCAGCCCCCTCCGGGGTAGCCTCGCGCTCCCAGCCGACAGCCGGAGAGGAAGAGGAATTTTAAGTAGGATTCGACCTGTTTCCTTTCTTTACAATCTGTCCCCCCCCTCTC